AGTGATTGATCATCATCTCAGCTCAATTTGAACCTAGGAGATGTAGTTTTATCTGTCGGTGGATTTCTAGGGATTTTGCAAAATGATTTGGGCTTTCCTTAATTAGTATGTGATTTGTTGGTCAAATATTCATGGGATTTATGTGTTTCTCAGTAGTAGACTAGTAGTAATCTTGGGATGAATCTGACATTTACATTATCTTGGTGTCTGCAGCACTAGATTGATGGGAACATCATCTGGGTCCAATCTTCCTCACCAGATGCTACCTCCACGTCAGCAATTGCAAACATCTCTTTCACTTGTATCTTCGGATCCCCACTTGTCACGATCTAATTCTGGCATTGTTCGTGAATCACCAGCTGAAAGTGCTAGCTCTCAAGAAACTTGGCCAACCTCAAAATCTATTATGGGAAATAAGACAGAGAGCGGAAAGAGAGGGCCTGACTCTCATGATCAACTTGTCATCCGCCATGTTTCCATTGCTGATAAGGTATCGCTACGGGACATAGCTAGGGAAAGAGTTGACATAGTCGCTGAGAGAATGCACCGATTACCAGAAGAAAATCTCGACGAGTTAAAGAACGGCCTTAAGGCTATCCTTGAGGGAAATGGTGCCCAGCCTATAGATGAGTTTATGTTTCTGCAGAAGTTTGTCCAGACGAGATCTGATTTAACTTCAAAGACACTTGTCAGGGCTCACCGAGTGCAGCTTGAAATCCTTGTGGTTATAAACACTGGAATCCAAGCATTCTTGCACCCAAACATCAATCTCTCTCAGTCATCGCTCATCGAGATCTTTGTGTACAAGAGATGCAGAAACATAGCGTGCCAAAACGAACTACCGGCTGATGGTTGTCCCTGTGATATATGCGCTAATAGGAAAGGCTTCTGCAACCTGTGCATGTGTGTGATCTGTAACAAGTTTGACTTTGCGGTCAACACATGCCGCTGGATTGGCTGCGACGTGTGTTCTCATTGGACTCATACGGATTGTGCTATTAGGGATGGAGAGATTTCGATGGGAGTTTCTCCCAAGAGCGTATCTGGGATGGGAGAAATGTTGTTCAAGTGTCGAGCCTGCAACCATACTTCTGAATTGCTGGGGTGGGTTAAAGATGTGTTTCAGCACTGTGCACCAAACTGGGATAGGGAATCTTTGATGAAGGAACTAGACTTCGTGAGTAGGATTTTCCGTGGAAGCGAAGATACAAAAGGCCGGAAACTATTCTGGAAGTGTGAGGAACTTATTGACAAGATTAAAGGTGGACTGGCGGAAGCAACAGCTGCCAAGTTGATACTGATGTTTTTCCAAGGTAAGCCCACTCGCTACTGTTATATGATAAGGGTTTACTCTTTTTAGACCTAACCATGTTTTGTGTGTGAAGAAATTGAATTGGACTCTCCAAAGAGCCTTGAAAACGGAGAAGGTGGGGGAACAATAGCACCTCAAGATGCATGCAACCGAATTGCTGAAGTTGTAAAGGAAACACTGAGGAAAATGGAGATAGTGGGTGAGGAAAAGACGAGGATGTACAAGAAAGCACGAATGGGGCTTGAGGAATGCGAGAGAGAGGTGGAAGAGAAAGCAAAGCAAGTGGCGGAACTGCAGATGGAGAGGCAGAAGAAGAAACAACAGATAGAAGAGGTGGAGAGGATAGTGAGGCTGAAGCAAGCAGAGGCAGAGATGTTTCAGTTAAAAGCAAACGAAGCAAAAGTGGAAGCAGAGAGATTGGAGAGGATTGTGAAAGCGAAGAAGGAAAAAACAGAAGAGGAATACGCGAGTAACTACTTGAAACTGAGGCTGAGTGAGGCAGAGGCAGAGAAAGAGTATCTGTTTGAAAAGATAAAAGAGCAAGAAAGTGGTGGAAATGGTGGTGAGGCGTCACAAGCAGTGATGTACTCAAAGATCAGAGAAATGCTTCATGGATACAATGCCTCTTCTTCGCCAAGAGTAGATCCAAGATCTAACCAGCGAAATCCTTTCAGATCCAATCCTTAGATGTTTGTATTGTCTCCCTTTGTTTGTATTAAAAAAAATCTTGGAATCAATTAAGGTTGGATTTGTGTGTGAAGTATTGTGGCCGTTGTATTCAAATTTTGCACAGGATTGTTTCTGTGTTGGGGCCATAATTTGATGGAAGCAAGCTTTCACACTAAGTGTTGCCAAAAACTCATACATTTGAGCCAAACATGAGAGTGATCATGTAGATGTCAGCAAAAAAAATAGCGTCACCGACTTTGAAAAGATAACGTTTTGGCCAAATACAGTCTATATTACGTAGTAGCTATTTGTAATATAGTCCTCATATTTTGGTTATAACAACGATTTTATTTCTTACGGGGTAAAAAATAAAAGGAATCGAAACCTATGGGGAAATAGTGTAATAATCTGGAAATTAAACGCGTATAATCGGATTGGTAAGGAATATCCTCGCCGAAACAAACAATCATCGACCATCGTTTTGTTTTTCCTGTCTACCCAAAAACAAACCCTAGTGTCCGAATTCTCGACAAAGTTCGTCCGATCCACGATTTTTGAATTCGCGTGCTTCTGATTCAAGATGTTTCTATCGCCTGGTCATTCTCCGCGGCAGATTTCTTCTCCATCGCCGTCGTCTTATTCCGATGATACCATCCGATCGACGCCTCGCAGTTCTTTCTCGGAGATCATTCCTCGGAACCCTAGAAAACGGATGAGAGTTCTTGATGAAGATGCGTATGTTGAAGCAATCGAGAAGATCATCGAGCGTGATTACTTTCCGGATATAACTAAGCTTAGGGATCGGCTCGATTGGATCCAAGCGGTTAAAACCCGTGACCCGATTCAAATCCGAGATGCCCAGTTGAAGATTATCGAGAGGCGTGGAAAGAAGGCGAATCATCATGTTGGGGACACCGAGGGTAAAACTCAAACTCCTGGATCTACTTTTCTCAGAAATTTTACTCCTTTAGATGAATTCGATGGTAAAACCCCTAGAACTCCTGGAGTATCTGGTAGAGAATTTCATGGTGGTGAAGTAGATGCTGATGCTGGAGATGGAGATATAGATCTAAATTTGTCCTTAGATGAGTTCTTTAGGAGATATACAAGTGAGGATAATGATAGCTTTTCGAAGATTCTTGAGAAGGTAAATAGGAAGAAGAAGGAGAAGTATGGCTTTCTCCTTGAAGGTGAAAAGGAGGATGGGAAATCGATTGAGGATTTAAAGAGAGATAGGATTACAGATGGGTATGGTACATCTGATCAGCCACCAAGCACTTTAGAAGGATGGAAATATACTGCGAAGAATCTTCTGATGTACCATCCAGCTGATCGGGGTGAGGCGCCTTTAACTGAGGCTGAAAGGGCAGTGAGATTACTTGGATTGACAAAGGAGATTGTTAAAGGGAACACTCGTTTTCATGGGAAGACTATGGATTCTAGGCCAAGAGAAGATGGCTCAGTTGAGATTCTCTACACTCCAATCGCAGGTTCTTCCCCGATGCATATCTCAGGTAGGGACAGAGACAAATCTAAGAGATATGATCTTGATGATTTAAGGAAAACCCCAAATCCTTTCTATGTGGAATCAGATAAGAGGGCAGATAATGGGTATAGTTTTGTTAGAACGCCTTCTCCTGCTCCAGGTCTTGATGAATCACCATTTATAACATGGGGTGAAATTGATGGGACACCAATGCGATTAGATCCCGAGGATACACCTATTGATATTGGTGGTAGTGCTGATGGACCGCACTACAACATTCCATCTGCACCTCCTAGAGATGTAAGGGCACATTCATTATCAAGGGATGCATCGCGAAAAATTAGAGAGAGATCAAATAGTATGTTTAAGAAACCTCCGTTGCCATCTCCTCATCGAAGTGGAAGTGCAAGTCCAAATGTTAGGACACTTTCACCTGCTGCTCAGAAGTTTTTCAGACGGGCAATAGCTAAATCATCTTCTACTGTTGATGAGAGCCTTCGTGCAAGTTATCGTGGAGCAAGCCCTGGTGCTGTGACTCCTAAGAGTGTGAGAAGTGTTTCAAGATTCGGCAAAGATGGGACCAGCTCAGAGACAAGGTCGCCTTGATGGTGTGAATGTTATGATTATCTGTTGTTGAATGCTTTGGTGCTCACAGAGGCAACAAAGAGGCTTCTTCTTGTACTACATTAACTTGTACTAAGTGCTTTTGACTTTCTTTAAATGGAATGCTATCTATCTTCCAATTTGTAATTTTGACTTCCACCTCTTCTCTTTTCTCCTAGGAGCTCCTTTATGCTCCCAGGCTACGCACTTCAATATTACAACATCATCTCAATATCCTTGAGTGAAAAATTTGGGGCTTATGCTTCATTTGTAGCTTCTCTGAATTTTAGTACCCTTTTGTGTGATTCAAGCTAGTTAATACCCAAGATTGTTCTCTCTTCATTTTCAGGTTCCCCTCAAGAGTTTGGAATTGCTTGATGTCAATTATTCATTAATGTTTGTGTATCTTTACAATAAAATCAGGAGACAGAACCGACTGCAACAAGAGTTTCAATCTTCACTGCAGCATGAAGTAGACATAAATGTCAAGACCTATGGTCCTGGTCCAAAGGGTGATTCAAGATTCACAACAGTGGAGACTTGTCTGGCATTAATAATTGCTCCCTAGAGATCCCTTTCAGTGATGAAGGTGGATCAAAAAAACAGTGTTTCTTAAAGCAGATAGAGCCATGCAACAATGGAGGAATTCGAATCCACAAGTATCAGATCAGGATCTGATGAAAGAAATGCTTCTGTCACACAACAACCTCTCATAAGTAAAATTGTAAGTCCAACTCGAGAAACCAAAGTCATGGAAAATGGAGAGAGATCAGGTACCCTTTAGACCAACTAAGTACTAACAGGCTGTGTAACAGATTATGCCAATAGGTTTTGCTTCAGGAACCCAGTAGAATCATGAAAGTATAAAAATCGATTAGAAAATTTGGTGGATATCGCCAGTAGAAAGCATAAAACATGGACCAGATGATATAGAGAAAGCATCAAACTTATATTTATATACAAGGAACATCACAAGTGTATTTCAAAGACAACATTGAGGATAAACCAGACCAGTAAAAAAACCAAACAAGCAAAAAAGAAGAAAATTTCACTATAACAGATGTTACTTGTTCCATATCATTTATAGTTAGATGGTAGCAGCAACACAGGATTCAGGTCTTGCCTTGTCAGAATCTTCAAACACTTTCTTAGAAGCTTTAATGTGATTAGTGATGTAATGCTTGCGACAAACAGGCATGTAGACATCAGCTCCACCAATAAGCTCAGTTCTGGTGTCACAATTCTTTCTTAGAGTGAAGAAAGCTTTATGTCCACAAACCTCACACCTTGCAGTTAGCTTAGTCACAGAATCAGCTATTGGTATAATGTCAAGTACAGCGCCAAAGCTCCTCCTGCATACAGAAAAATCAAATCCACATTTTACAGTCAACAAAATTGTTTTAAAGAAAAAGAATTTAAATATCCAATCACATAGGAGGACTAAGCACCTTAGATAGTCACCATCTAGGCCAGCAACGATCACAGTTTTGCCATCATCATCAGCGACTTTGCAGCAAAACTCATAAAGATCTCCGAAGAACTGAGCCTCATCAATACCAATCACATCAAGCTGCCAATGATTTTAAGAGAAACACACAATTTCAATATGCAGATCCTTGACAATTAAGACCCATTATTATACCAATAAACCATCGAATTTTATTACCTTGTTATAAGCATCTTGTCCGAATTTCTCAGGAAATGACATGAGATCTGGAAGAGCCCAGCAAGGGAATCCAATTCCGTCATGTGTCACCACCGAATCTTTGGCGTATCTCGTATCCTTGCTCGATTTCAGCATCGCAACACTTCTGCTTAACCAAAAGACCAAATTAAGAAAATTGGATCTCTGAATTGTAAGAAAGTGAAGATAGATCTAACAATTAGAGAATCTTTGGAGATGGGAAATAAACTTTACCTTCCGTCACTAATCTCTGACTTGATTCGGCGAAGGAGAGAGGTCGATTTCCCAGAAAACATAGGACCCATGATAACATGAATAGCACCTGACCCACGACGTTCCAGATCCGAGAGAACATCCCCGGCGACGTCACTGTCGAGGGTTTTGAGCAAAAACGAAGCTTTGAGAGTCGCCATGGCAGATTGTGGGTGTGGGGATGTGAACAAGATAAAAAAGAGGAGAAAGGTTTCAGATTGCTTGTGGTTTTTAGGTAGCGATGGTGAATAACTTGTGGAAGATATATATACACGGAGATCCAGAGGTTGAACAAGGAAGAAAATTGTTGGAGAAGATTTGTCAAAGATAAGGGTTTGAAATTTTGAGTGGGAGCTTTTTTTTAAAAAATTTACATCTTGGAGGGAAACAGTTTTTTTAGAGCGAATTGTTTTTTTATATTTAATTCTCTCTTTTCACAATGCGGAACACAATAACGGATATTTTTATTTATATCTGATCATTTATATTATTCAATTTTTCTATTCGCTTAAATAATATTGAGTTTTTAAAACTTAGTTCATTCATGTGTTTTAGGCTTACTACATAAAACATTTCTTTTATATGTTTGTTAATTAAAATATGTTTTTATTTTATTTTTACAGCAATAACATTAAAATGAAAAATATTCTTAAATAATATCGACATAAGTGATACTGTTTTAAAAAACTAATCATATATTTCACTAATGTTTTTTAGAATATTGTTTAGAAAGCCGTAATATTATTAGAGAAACAACTTTCTTCTACAAACCCATCATTTTTGTGTGTTTTTGAATATGGGCTTAAGCCCAAATATCTGCCCAATGATGAACATGTTCACAACCTTCTCCAAGTGTTCCAATACATGAACAACGTTCATTGCTTCTTAGCAATTTGAAGCTAAATTAATGTCCAATCGTTGCTCGTGAAAGTAGTGTTGTGTTCCTAAAACCGAAGATGAGCTAGAAGATATTTTCATCGTCAGTCAGGAAGTTACTAGGTTAACTCAATGTGATCACAGTAATTAAAAATAAAAACATAGTCAAAATGTACACGACTAGGTTAAAAAGGACAAAACCAAACGTATACAACAAGCCTAAATTATCCAAACCAACAACAACTCTCAGTTCTACTTTAAAAACTATATGAATAAAAACATCCTTAATTGCAAACTTTTAATACCTTTTTTAGTTTAGACAGTTTAGTTTAGTGGCATCATCTATAATTTCTTTTTAAGATATAAACTAAAAATTCCACACAAAAAAATATTCCAAAATATGAATATTCTTATGTAATAACAAAAGTAAAATTTCCGTGTAATAAATGGAAGGGAAAACCAAATTATGTATTGAAAAAGAAAAAAAACTAACCAATTATGTAATAATTCTTACATGTAAATATATAAATACAGACATATCTTCTTCTTCTTCTTGCACACCCGAAAAGCCTTTGTCTTTCTATCTCTCTACCAAAAACTCTCTATTTCTTTCTCTCTCTATCTCTAGAGCGCGTCCCTGCGCGTCGTCAGTATGTTTTTATTGACGCCATTGAAATTGGGTTAAATCGGATTGAACAAAAAAAAAAAAAAAAAAACTGTATTAATAATAATTCCTACTTTTCTCTCTTCTGATTGATTCCAATCTTCTTTCATTTTCTTCTTCTGGGGAAGGGGCAGGTTAAATTATGCCCTCTATTCAAATCATCCTCAGATCTTAGTGTTTTCTCGACGAGATTCGGCATCTGGGTTTTATTCTGATTGGTGGGTTTTTTTTTTTTATTCTTCTTTTGATCTCAGATTTCCCTTCTTTGTCTGATTTGTTTTTTTTTTTTTTTTTGCTTAAATCCGTTTTTGTTTTCCCGATCAAACTCTCCTGGTCTGTTCTCGGATCTGTTGTTTTCTAGATTCAATCTGAATTTGATTTTACGTTTTGTCTTGTAAAGATATTTCCTTTTGATCAGATTTTTGAGAATCCATTGAAATCTGATTCAATCTAAAGCTTTAAAAGAACTTGTTTATGTTTGATCTGCTAGATTTTTCTGAGAGCTGATTCCTTGTGTGTGCAGAGCAAAATGCAATCGGATAATGGAAAGCTTTTCATCGGTGGGATATCTTGGGACACCAATGAGGAACGTCTCAAGGAGTATTTCAGCAGTTTTGGAGAAGTGATCGAGGCTGTCATCTTGAAAGATCGCACCACTGGTCGTGCTCGTGGTTTCGGTTTTGTTGTCTTTGCTGATCCTGCTGTTGCTGAGATTGTTATCACCGAAAAACATAATATTGATGGGAGATTGGTATGTTCACTCTTCTCGCCTTTCATTTTGTACAATGTAACTTGTTTTCGAAGCTTCCTTATGCAATCAACCCTTCAAGAGTTACACGTTGTTCCCATTTGATTGCGATTAACCTTTTGTTGTATTGAATCATCATCACTTCCTTTTGCTTTTTTTTCTTTTTTTTTGAGAAGGAATGTGTGATTTTGTTATATGAGCTTCGTTTTTCATTTTTCAAGTTTTTTGATCTTTCGCAGGTTGAAGCCAAGAAAGCTGTTCCCAGAGATGACCAAAACATGGTAAATAGAAGCAACAGCAGCAGCATCCAAGGTTCTCCCGGGGGTCCAGGTCGCACAAGGAAGATATTTGTTGGAGGATTACCTTCCTCTGTTACAGAGAGCGATTTCAAGACGTATTTTGAGCAGTTTGGAACAACTACCGATGTGGTTGTTATGTATGATCACAACACACAAAGGCCTAGAGGTTTCGGATTTATAACCTACGATTCTGAGGAGGCCGTTGAAAAGGTATTGCTCAAGACATTCCATGAACTAAATGGTAAAATGGTTGAGGTAAAGCGAGCTGTTCCAAAGGAGTTATCTCCAGGTCCAAGTCGCAGTCCTCTTGGTGCAGGTTACAGCTATGGAGTTAATAGGGTTAATAACATTCTTAATGGATATGCTCAAGGGTTTAATCCCGCTGCAGTTGGAGGCTACGGACTTAGGATGGATGGTCGGTTCAGTCCTGTTGGTGCTGGAAGAAGCGGGTTTGCAAATTTCAGTTCTGGCTACGGGATGAATGTGAACTTTGAGCAGGGATTGCCCACAGGGTTCACGGGAGGTACTAATTTCAATGGAAATGTTGACTATGGCCGAGGAATGAGCCCGTACTACATTGGTAACACAAACAGGTTTGGTCCTGCGGTTGGCTATGAAGGGGGCAATGGAGGAGGAAACTCATCCTTCTTCAGTTCGGTTACACGAAACCTATGGGGAAACAACGGGGGTCTTAACTATAACAACAACACTACAAACTCAAATTCCAATACATACATGGGAGGATCATCAAGTGTGAACAACACACTTAGTGGTCCATTTGGAAATTCTGGAGTCAATTGGGGTGCTCCTGGAGGAGGAAACAATGCTGTTAGTAACGAGAATGTGAAGTTTGGTTATGGAGGAAACGGTGAATCTGGTTTTGGGTTGGGAACAGGTGGTTATGCAGCAAGAAACCCAGGGGCTAACAAGGCAGCACCATCGTCTTCATTCTCTTCTGCCTCGGCAACCAACAACACGGGTTACGATACAGCAGGACTTGCAGAGTTTTACGGGAATGGTGCAGTTTATAGTGATCCCACATGGAGATCACCAACTCCTGAGACAGAAGGGCCTGCTTCTTTTAGCTATGGGATTGGAGGAGGAGGTCCTTCTTCAGATGTTTCAGCTAGAAGTTCATCTCCAGGTTATGTTGGCAGTTACAGTGTGAACAAGAGACAACCAAACAGAGGTAACTGAGTTAAGAGTAATTCTATGCTTTAACATGTGATTCTATGCTTAAAGAATGCCATGAGCTAGTTGATAAAGGAATAGAATAGGAATGGAACCCAAAAGATCTTCTTATCAAGTCTTAAAAGTAAATAACGTAACTTGAAACCAAGCACCCAACCCAAGAGAACAAGTTTTCTCCCTCTGCTAAAACCTAGAAAAAACCTCAAAGCTCTTCCTTTAGTTGAAAACCAATAAAACCTTCAATCTCTAGCTTCAATGATTTCTCACAACCAATACCTCATCCTTATCTGTCTATACTAGGAGTAAAAGCAAAGGACTCTTAAGAAAAGGAAATTGAAAGCCTAGATAGTTCCCAAATTACACTTTGGCTTGATTTTGATTATCCTCTTCTTCTTTCGGGAATAAACAAACCATGGTTTAGTGTCTTGAACTAATGGTGCTCTACAGTCCGTAGAACACATGCATATCACTAGTGAAACGGCTTTTCCTCAGAAACACAAACTTGCTTGCATACAGAAACAGTAGCCATTCTGCATCTTTACTGCTATCTAGTTCATCAGAAATTATTTACTGAAGGAAAGTTTCTTTTAGTGCTTTAGATATAGGCTCATGGAACTATAAAACCAGTTGAATTTTATTTGTTGCTCACACCAGTGTCTATGGGAAGGCTAAGAAACTTGTGATGAAGAAACCCAATATTGCATGACTGGTTTCTTATCGCGCTTCTCCTCTCTGAATTCTATCTCCCTTTTTCGCTTTTGTTGCAGGAATTGCTACTTAGTACAATCGTTTTTGTTTTACCACGATATTGTAGGCGAGCCATCACGGTGAACGATCTGTGTCTTTTGGCGAATCTTTTAGATTATCTTCTTTTCCTTCATACAAAGCCAGTGAGGACGAAACTTGATCATATCATCACCTAGAGCTAACCAGAGAATCCCGCAGACTTTTCTGTCATGGTTTGGTTTTCTAAATTCATTGTTCCTCCTAGGCTTTTTTCTGCTTTCTTTTTTTCTATTTTTGTTTTCTTTTCTTCTTTCAATGAGGGACAGAAGAAACTGTATCAGTCTCCGGCGAGGCGGTAATACATAAGAAGAGTTCAAAACAAAAACCAAAAAAAAAAAAAATTCTTCTTCCTCAGTTTTCTTCTTCATTGTCATGTAATGGTTCTTCTTCTTCTTCTTCTTGGGGGTTATGGTTAAGGTTTGTGTTTTGAGGCAGATTGTACTAGAGTTTTTCTCTTTTGTTTTGTCGTTTTAAGTCCTTTGTTTTGTTTTTGATAGTGTGAGATATGGAAAGAGGATTTAGCCATGTAGGGCTTTCGAGAATAAGTCTTTTTATCACTATGAGATTATTTTGTTCTCAAGCTGTTTGTATGTCTTATGCGAACGCAAGCAAACTCGTTTCTGTTGATGTACTTCTATTTTATAGAAAACTCTTTTTATCTTTTATTGGTTTCTCTCTTATCTTTTTCTCTTAATATATATAGTGCAATGAATCCCTTGCCTGATTTTATAGAGGACTCTTAACACTATCTATCTGTTGTATCTTTCTCTTAGTCTCTAATTATCTTTAGTCTTTAGTCATGATCTGTGAGCTATTCTTCACTATTCTTGTGAATCCTAATGACTATTTGATCTGTGACACTTCCCGGAAAAATAATAAAATATGTTGGAACCAAAGTATTTTTGACATGAAGTTGTCTCAGACGATTATGCTCAAGGACTCTCAGACGATTATGCTTAAGGACAGTGCAAGAACTCATGAGCAACCAATTTGTTTTTGAAGTTTTTTCCAAGCATTGTTGATTATTGGGGATGTCTTAATTGCAAAAATAGTATGTTTCACGGTTCCCAATATTAGTTTGAGTTTTGGTCCGTATCTTCCGGTTACAAAAAGCAAAGAAATGTTAACTTAGGAGCCAAGCCACCAAATTTCACTTACACAATTTAAGATATCAAAAAGTGCCTTTATTTTTTTGTTTCGGCTTCTAACCGAGCAAATGAAAGAGCGATTTTGATTCTCAAAAAGAGCATTATGGATGCATTCATTGTTGAATTAAATAGAATGAGAGCATACATCAAATATAGTTAATGTATAGAAGAAATACATATAAAAAATGAATGGGTGTTTGATTAATTAATTGTTTTAGAGCTTCTACATTTAGGCTGCTTGAGCGCTGCATGCTTTAGGGCTCTGAGATCCCAAGAGTTTGGGACTGACATTTGAACATTGGAAAGTCGCTGGACCATCGGCTCCATTGTACTTAATGTCAATGTCTCCAATCTCCACGTTCTGGCACGGATATCCCTTGCTGCAAAGTAGCTTCACCGCGTCCTTGTTCCCTGATGTTCCTCTGATATTCTTGAAGCTTATGTTCACCAACTTAATTGTTGATGCTTTCTACAAATCACAAATCAAATAACCATTGGAAAAATCAGACCAGGAATCTATCCAAAATACTCTTATCCAAAATTAATGGTAAAGATAGGAAATACATACTTGCTTGTTGCATTGGTTCCAAGGGCAGTACTCTTGGTCGATGAGGATTGGGTTGCTAACGTTCTTGACGATGATATCCTCGAAATGGATATCCGAGGCGGTGGTGGAGCAAGCTGCAGAGGGCCATGTCTTGATTCTCAACCCGTTGTCAGTCTCTTGGAGAGTGCAGTTGATGATCTTAATGCCGCTGACGTCTTGCTCGTGTCCGTACCTTCCAAGGCTTCCGACACTGATACCGTGTCCTGGACCGCATGTAACTTTCTCCACGTGAAGGTTCTTCATCCCATCTCCAACGGAGATGCAATCGTCTCCGGTGGAGATGAAAGAGTTAAGGATCTTGACTCCGTCACTTCTTCCCAAATGGATCCCATCAGTGTTGGGACTCTCCTCTGGAGCGATGATCTTGATGTTATCCATGGTCATGTTCTTGGCTCCCAACACGTTGATGTGGAAATTCTTTGCATCGATCGAGGATATGTCTCTGATCTCAGAGTTCAACACGAAGTCAAACCTTATACTCTGTAAAAACAGAACAAATAACATCACTAAGTTGTTTCTTAATATGTCAAAGGGGATTAAAGAAAGAAGCACATACGATGGGAAGTTTCTTGCAGTTGAAGGTCTTGTGGCAGTTGTTGACCCTCCACGCAGAGTTTCCTTCACCGTCGAAGGCTCCACCTCCGTTCAACTTAAAGCCATCAATGTTGCCGAAGACGACCCATTTCTCCTTTCCTTGGATAGCGTTACCGTCAGCTTTGACAGTACCTTGAAGGGTGACCTCAATGGGAGCTTTGCATGGACCCCTCATCTCGATCTCACCAAGCTTGAACTCTCCTTTTGGGATCACCACTTTGCTTGGTGACGAAGATTGGCATGCCGATGTGAATGCTTTCAGAAGGGCCTGCATATCAGAGTAATGAAACCCTAATTAACGAGATAAGCCAAAAAAAATGGTTTTATAGATTTCTTGGAAAGCAAGAAAGAGAACTAACCTGAGTAATATCAGAACCTGATGACGAACCAATGGTGAATACCTCAGCATTGGCTGAAATTCCCAACAAACAGATAATTAATATGGTAGAAACTCCAAAATATGCACCCATTTTTCCCAAAAAAAAATAAAATATTACTACTATTACTATTTGTTATTCTATTTTGTTTTCTGGAATTTGATTAAGCTCATGTTTACATTTATATAGTGTGTTGGATAGAGGAGAGATGGTAAAGTCTAATTTTTGAAAATTTCTCACCACCTCTCGTTTTTTAGGTCATTTGACCCATTAGGAAGTCTGATGTCTAATTTTGTATCTTGGACTAAGGATGAAAACTAAAAAGTATCTAAAAGGGACATTTTCATTCAAAATGGAATTTCTATATATAAAGTCTAATTTTGCCTAAATATGATCATGTTAAATCAACTATTATTTTGGAATCCCTTTGTTTAATTTTTTTACCATCCCGTCTTTATATTTATCTTCATAAAATTACAGTACTTTTTTAATTTAGGTGTTGAATATTCTTTGGTAAAATCAAAACAAGTAAAACTCTTAAGTTTGTTCGTTATACCATTCATTTCTTTATACACATAATGTTTTGAAATTTGACATGAAAATGGAAGTCATTCGTGCATATTTACACTTTTTCATTGAAAATCAAACAAATTTGATTATTATTTTAGTCAAATAAAGTAGTTTGATTTTTTTTCTTTAATTAATCATAGCATATATGCTAGCTGAAGTATGTCCACCGGACACCGGTTCACGTACTGATCACTGATGTTAAACAATAATATAGACCACTTAATTTAAAAAAAAAAAAATTAAACCCATACATGCATGGTGATGTGTTTTTTAAGGGATCCTCTGAAAGTAAACAACATGGCTTCTAGATTCGAGTGAATAGTGATGCTCCCAGTTTAAGGTTGTTGTTGTTTTTTTTTTAACTTCTACCGTCTACGTACGGTACCTTTGTCCTTTAGTCTTTATCGTCACACGTCCTATGCTCGAGTTTTGAAAACGTTTTCTCGGAGGTAGACATGTCAATCAGGGCCGAACCCCGCGGGCTGGCCCGGCCCAGCCCTGAAAAATAGCGGATCCGGGCTTAAAAATATATGTCCAGAAAAAAATCGGGCTTTTTGGGCTAAGCCCGTTGGGCTAAAGGGTTTTTAGGGCTTAGCTCGGCCGGGCTCGGGCCGGCCCGAAAAGTCCTTAAAAAAAGATTTTAACTTTTTTTTTGTAAATATTATTGTTTAATTAAGAGATTTGTTTAAAGATTTTTTTATAATAGAATTAAAAACCCTAAACCTAGTTTTCTAATTGTGTCTTACTATAAGTGTTATGATTTTATATTTTATTTAGTGTGGGTTTAAACAATTTATTTGGGTTATTTATTTGATTTTAAACTTTTTTAAAACTAGATTCACTTTAGTGGGTTATTTAAGTTTCGTTTGACTCGTTTTATACATAGATTTTTTTTTTTTCAAAAGATATTATAAATTAGAAGGGTTTATTTTTCTCGAAAGAAAAGCTCAAAAAAAAACCGTAAAAGCCCTGTAACTCTGTTAGGGCCGGGCCGGGATAGTCCGATTGACATGCCTACTCGGAGGCACTCGTCATTTTTAGTTCGTTGTGTCAGACTCACTACCTTTTTAGCACGAATAATTGGATGGTCCATGAACACGCAATTCTCAAAGCATCTAATCGTTGCGGAACTTTAATTACACGTGATTTATATTTTGTAGTTAATTTTTTTTTTTTAAATCAAGTTATTTTCTATAAATTGATTAGAAAAAAGAAAAGAAAAACAGAAGAAGATTTTGATTAAAAACGATATTAAAATACAAAAAAAATTAACCTGTATCTTTTTGGTTTTATTGCATTCATATATGCACACACACATCTATGTATATGTGTTGGCATCAAATAAAAAAAAAAAAAAGTGAAACAAAATTCTTTTACAGCTTTTTAAATTAAATCTCCCTTGTGTGACTTTGGGAAAAAATCTAAGATTGAAGAAAAATTGGATGAGAAATTCCTAAATATTGTTGTGAGCTTTCTACATTTTACTTAGGTTGGGTCAACACGGGTGGTGTGTTACAAGCCTTTGGGAACTGAGTTCCAACAAGCTTAGGCCTTACGTTTGAGCACATGAAGGTGGCTGGACCATCGGCTCCAGTGTACTGAATATTAATGTCTCCAACCTGAACGTTCTCACACGGATATCCCTTGCTGCACAACAGCTTCACTGCGTCCTTGTTCCCTGATGTCCCTCTAATCCTCTTGAAGCTTATGTTTGCCAGCTTAATGGATGATGATTTCTGCCATTTGATGAAAATAACACATTAGGAAGTTTGAATCATATACTTTTTTCTCAGAACAGGATAATTCCAATACTCATGTTAAAGATATATACCTGCTTGTTGCACTGGTTCCAGGGACAGTACTCTTGGTCGATGAGGATTGGGTTACTAACGTTTCTAAGGATGATATTCTCAAAATGAATATTGGAGGCAGTGGTGGAACAAGCTGCAGAGGGCCAAGTCTTGATCCTGAGGCCGTTGTCAGTCTCCTGGAGGGTGCAGTTGATGACCCTAATGCCGCTGACGTCCTGCTCGTGTCCGTACCTTCCAAGGCTTCCCACACTGATCCCGTGTCCAGGACCACACACGACGTTCTTCACGAGAAGATTCACCATCCCGTCCCCGACGGAGACACAGTCATCTCCGGTGGCGATCCTAGAGTTGATAATCGAGACCCCGACACTTCTTCCCAAGTGGATCCCGTCAGTGTTGGGGCTCTCTGCTGGAGCCATGATCTTGACGTTGTTAAAGGTCATGTTCTTGGCGCCTATCACGTTGATGTGAAAGTTCTTGGCATCGATTGAGGATATGTCTCTGATCTCAGCGTTCGTCACGAAATCAAACCTTATGCTCTGTAAAAACAGAACAAAA